AAAGGCGGCGGACGAGGGCAGACAAGCAACAAATATAAATTTAACTAAAAATAACAAAATGTGTTTTGATTTAGAAATAGCGCGAGTTATCGGAGAGAGCTGCGGGGTCGGAGAAGAGAAAAAAGGCGGCGGACGAGGGCAGACAAGCAACAAATATAAATTTAACTAAAAATAACAAAATGTGTTTTGATTTAGAAATAGCGCGAGTTATCGGAGAGAGCTGCGGGGTCGGAGAAGAGAAAAAAGGCGGCGGACGAGGGCAGACAAGCAACAAATATAAATTTAACTAAAAATAACAAAATGTGTTTTGATTTAGAAATAGCGCGAGTTATCGGAGAGAGCTGCGGGGTCGGAGAAGAGAAAAAAGGCGGCGGACGAGGGCAGACAAGCAACAAATATAAATTTAACTAAAAATAACAAAATGTGTTTTGATTTAGAAATAGCGCGAGTTATCGGAGAGAGCTGCGGGGTCGGAGAAGAGAAAAAAGGCGGCGGACGAGGGCAGACAAGCAACAAATATAAATTTAACTAAAAATAACAAAATGTGTTTTGATTTAGAAATAGCGCGAGTTATCGGAGAGAGCTGCGGGGTCGGAGAAGAGAAAAAAGGCGGCGGACGAGGGCAGACAAGCAACAAATATAAATTTAACTAAAAATAACAAAATGTGTTTTGATTTAGAAATAGCGCGAGTTATCGGAGAGAGCTGCGGGGTCGGAGAAGAGAAAAAAGGCGGCGGACGAGGGCAGACAAGCAACAAATATAAATTTAACTAAAAATAACAAAATGTGTTTTGATTTAGAAATAGCGCGAGTTATCGGAGAGAGCTGCGGGGTCGGAGAAGAGAAAAAAGGCGGCGGACGAGGGCAGACAAGCAACAAATATAAATTTAACTAAAAATAACAAAATGTGTTTTGATTTAGAAATAGCGCGAGTTATCGGAGAGAGCTGCGGGGTCGGAGAAGAGAAAAAAGGCGGCGGACGAGGGCAGACAAGCAACAAATATAAATTTAACTAAAAATAACAAAATGTGTTTTGATTTAGAAATAGCGCGAGTTATCGGAGAGAGCTGCGGGGTCGGAGAAGAGAAAAAAGGCGGCGGACGAGGGCAGACAAGCAACAAATATAAATTTAACTAAAAATAACAAAATGTGTTTTGATTTAGAAATAGCGCGAGTTATCGGAGAGAGCTGCGGGGTCGGAGAAGAGAAAAAAGGCGGCGGACGAGGGCAGACAAGCAACAAATATAAATTTAACTAAAAATAACAAAATGTGTTTTGATTTAGAAATAGCGCGAGTTATCGGAGAGAGCTGCGGGGTCGGAGAAGAGAAAAAAGGCGGCGGACGAGGGCAGACAAGCAACAAATATAAATTTAACTAAAAATAACAAAATGTGTTTTGATTTAGAAATAGCGCGAGTTATCGGAGAGAGCTGCGGGGTCGGAGAAGAGAAAAAAGGCGGCGGACGAGGGCAGACAAGCAACAAATATAAATTTAACTAAAAATAACAAAATGTGTTTTGATTTAGAAATAGCGCGAGTTATCGGAGAGAGCTGCGGGGTCGGAGAAGAGAAAAAAGGCGGCGGACGAGGGCAGACAAGCAACAAATATAAATTTAACTAAAAATAACAAAATGTGTTTTGATTTAGAAATAGCGCGAGTTATCGGAGAGAGCTGCGGGGTCGGAGAAGAGAAAAAAGGCGGCGGACGAGGGCAGACAAGCAACAAATATAAATTTAACTAAAAATAACAAAATGTGTTTTGATTTAGAAATAGCGCGAGTTATCGGAGAGAGCTGCGGGGTCGGAGAAGAGAAAAAAGGCGGCGGACGAGGGCAGACAAGCAACAAATATAAATTTAACTAAAAATAACAAAATGTGTTTTGATTTAGAAATAGCGCGAGTTATCGGAGAGAGCTGCGGGGTCGGAGAAGAGAAAAAAGGCGGCGGACGAGGGCAGACAAGCAACAAATATAAATTTAACTAAAAATAACAAAATGTGTTTTGATTTAGAAATAGCGCGAGTTATCGGAGAGAGCTGCGGGGTCGGAGAAGAGAAAAAAGGCGGCGGACGAGGGCAGACAAGCAACAAATATAAATTTAACTAAAAATAACAAAATGTGTTTTGATTTAGAAATAGCGCGAGTTATCGGAGAGAGCTGCGGGGTCGGAGAAGAGAAAAAAGGCGGCGGACGAGGGCAGACAAGCAACAAATATAAATTTAACTAAAAATAACAAAATGTGTTTTGATTTAGAAATAGCGCGAGTTATCGGAGAGAGCTGCGGGGTCGGAGAAGAGAAAAAAGGCGGCGGACGAGGGCAGACAAGCAACAAATATAAATTTAACTAAAAATAACAAAATGTGTTTTGATTTAGAAATAGCGCGAGTTATCGGAGAGAGCTGCGGGGTCGGAGAAGAGAAAAAAGGCGGCGGACGAGGGCAGACAAGCAACAAATATAAATTTAACTAAAAATAACAAAATGTGTTTTGATTTAGAAATAGCGCGAGTTATCGGAGAGAGCTGCGGGGTCGGAGAAGAGAAAAAAGGCGGCGGACGAGGGCAGACAAGCAACAAATATAAATTTAACTAAAAATAACAAAATGTGTTTTGATTTAGAAATAGCGCGAGTTATCGGAGAGAGCTGCGGGGTCGGAGAAGAGAAAAAAGGCGGCGGACGAGGGCAGACAAGCAACAAATATAAATTTAACTAAAAATAACAAAATGTGTTTTGATTTAGAAATAGCGCGAGTTATCGGAGAGAGCTGCGGGGTCGGAGAAGAGAAAAAAGGCGGCGGACGAGGGCAGACAAGCAACAAATATAAATTTAACTAAAAATAACAAAATGTGTTTTGATTTAGAAATAGCGCGAGTTATCGGAGAGAGCTGCGGGGTCGGAGAAGAGAAAAAAGGCGGCGGACGAGGGCAGACAAGCAACAAATATAAATTTAACTAAAAATAACAAAATGTGTTTTGATTTAGAAATAGCGCGAGTTATCGGAGAGAGCTGCGGGGTCGGAGAAGAGAAAAAAGGCGGCGGACGAGGGCAGACAAGCAACAAATATAAATTTAACTAAAAATAACAAAATGTGTTTTGATTTAGAAATAGCGCGAGTTATCGGAGAGAGCTGCGGGGTCGGAGAAGAGAAAAAAGGCGGCGGACGAGGGCAGACAAGCAACAAATATAAATTTAACTAAAAATAACAAAATGTGTTTTGATTTAGAAATAGCGCGAGTTATCGGAGAGAGCTGCGGGGTCGGAGAAGAGAAAAAAGGCGGCGGACGAGGGCAGACAAGCAACAAATATAAATTTAACTAAAAATAACAAAATGTGTTTTGATTTAGAAATAGCGCGAGTTATCGGAGAGAGCTGCGGGGTCGGAGAAGAGAAAAAAGGCGGCGGACGAGGGCAGACAAGCAACAAATATAAATTTAACTAAAAATAACAAAATGTGTTTTGATTTAGAAATAGCGCGAGTTATCGGAGAGAGCTGCGGGGTCGGAGAAGAGAAAAAAGGCGGCGGACGAGGGCAGACAAGCAACAAATATAAATTTAACTAAAAATAACAAAATGTGTTTTGATTTAGAAATAGCGCGAGTTATCGGAGAGAGCTGCGGGGTCGGAGAAGAGAAAAAAGGCGGCGGACGAGGGCAGACAAGCAACAAATATAAATTTAACTAAAAATAACAAAATGTGTTTTGATTTAGAAATAGCGCGAGTTATCGGAGAGAGCTGCGGGGTCGGAGAAGAGAAAAAAGGCGGCGGACGAGGGCAGACAAGCAACAAATATAAATTTAACTAAAAATAACAAAATGTGTTTTGATTTAGAAATAGCGCGAGTTATCGGAGAGAGCTGCGGGGTCGGAGAAGAGAAAAAAGGCGGCGGACGAGGGCAGACAAGCAACAAATATAAATTTAACTAAAAATAACAAAATGTGTTTTGATTTAGAAATAGCGCGAGTTATCGGAGAGAGCTGCGGGGTCGGAGAAGAGAAAAAAGGCGGCGGACGAGGGCAGACAAGCAACAAATATAAATTTAACTAAAAATAACAAAATGTGTTTTGATTTAGAAATAGCGCGAGTTATCGGAGAGAGCTGCGGGGTCGGAGAAGAGAAAAAAGGCGGCGGACGAGCGCAGACAAGCAACAAATATAAGTTTAACTAAAAATAACAAAATGTGTTTTTATTAAATCATAGTCTATAAAATTAATGAATATGCGAAATATTTGACTTAAATAGCCTAATTAACAGATTAACAAAACAAAAGGAAAAGACTGAGAGATATACTGCTGAGTTTGGTTGGCGCAGCGCTCTACGAAAGTCCACGGAAAGGAAACCGAGATAGAACAGAAATAAAAGTAAACACATCGAATTATCTGTATGACCAAAGATGATGGAATATTTTGTTGTTGTTTGTTTCCGCTGTTCGATCGCGCCGGCGCCTCACGCACACACATACAACATTGCAAACGTTGCAGCCTGTTCATTATCAGAATAAAATACAGTCAACCAAACATATAGATACACAAATCAAGTCTGAATTGTGCCCACAGTGCTCAAGTGCCTCGTGTTTTTGTGGAGATCTCGGGGCGCTCAATACGGCAGACATAATCAGCTTTTGTTGACTTTATCTACGACACTAGAGCCTTAGAGGTTAAACTTATTAGAGGTTTGACTAAACCGTGCAATTCTAATGGCTGATAAGATGTTTTGGACTGCTTGTGGAAAGCATTCTAGAGGCTATAAAAGAACTTCACAGATTAAATTCTTTATAAAAGGATTTTCATACATTTGTTGCAGTGGCCATGTGTGTGTTAAATACTGGTAAGATTTTGGGCCGCATTTGCTGCAACAGTATCCTAAAAATAGACGTTAACCAATCGTCTGCACACCCTAGATGACGTCAGTTGAAAAGAAACTTGGTAAGTAAAATAATAAACTACAACCTTTTTGCTCCAAGAAACAATAGTAATCATCACAGCGGCATCGTCGTGCTAACAAACCTGTGCATCGGCTAGCATGACGTCCTTGATGAGGGGCAGGCCGCGAGATTCACCATTCTCGACACGGACGTAGTGCACCTGGTACCCGCGGATCTGCCCGTGCTGTTTCCCTGGCAACAGGGAGCGCCACATCACCTTGATGGAGGTAGAGTTGAGCACCTCGACCTCTACACGCCGAGGGGGGGCCCCGGGCACTGCGATAAGAGAAGATGACACAATGAGGGATTGAAATTACCATTTTATTATCATTACAACTACATTTTTAAAACAATTATGGTGGTTTTTGCCTGTTCAAAATTCACCAATATGATGCTATGGTGTTCCTTTGCGCTACGTGAGTTACTTACCTAATTTCTGTTCATATTACTGTTAGTTTGAACAATAGTAGCAGTGATAACTGCCTTGGCATTTTAATGATGAAAAGGACATAAGTCGTCATTAAAGGTGAAGTTTTACAATCAAAACACATTAATTAGTATCTTTAGTCTTTAATGAGCATTAACTTTCACTCATCTAGAAATTTGTACTTTTTACCAAATTTAGAGGCCAGTTTTAAAAATATTTTTATCCCTATACATCTCTGAACCAATTGGACTTGAAGGGAACACATTTTTCTACCAATCTACCAATTTATACATAGCTAGCAATCATAGTTCCTCAGATATCATAACCTAAATATGACTTTCCAGACGATTTTTGGGCTTTAAAAAACCCCATGAAAATGCTAAAATATACATTAAATACTTTACACAACCTCAGTTCATTAAAAAAATAAAATAAAACTGTTTACATGAGACTTCAACTTCAACATGAATGCATATCCATTTTCTTCACTGACTTACTTTTATGACTACCACTTGATCGTGTAGACTTATTTCACTATTTACCAAATTTAGAGGTCAGTTATGAAAATATTTCAACCCTGATGAGACTCTGAACCACTTGGACTTGAAGAAAACACATCTTTCTACATAGCAGCAATCATAGTTCCTGATATATCATTCCCTAAACATGGCTTCCCCGGCATTTATTAGCTATTAAGTTAGGATCTACATCAAATATTTTACAGAACTCACATATAAACAAAATCTTCTTTAATTACATCTGATTCGACATAGATAGACTCTCAATCTGTTCTAAAAATAGTACAATGTACCAATAGTTATGGAGCACCTCAAGACCGTACGATATGGCTGAAAAGAAACTAAGCCCTAGCATCTCAGCAAGTACGCACTTTCAATTATGTGAAACCAGGCTATTGATTAAGCGCCCATCTTCAGGGACATTTAATCAACTGTAATTTCACACCCCCATATACCCGAGCAACCATTTCATCGCCTTCCATTTCACTATCATTCTTATCTGAGCACTGATCAATTCGCGGGTCTGCCGTCTGCAGTCTTTTACCTGCGAGCTAATGAAAATCCTTTTATACGAGGCCCTGATGTTTAATACCTCCGGTCATTCAGTACTGCTGTAAGGAGGAGACCCATTTCCTGGATGGTCAATAAAAGACGCCATAAGGGGATGTACTATATATTGGGGCCCGACTATTCCGTATTAGATGCTATAATGGTACAAGTCTCCAAGGATGTGACTGTCGTAACGTATTGCTACTCAAATAACTCCATGTTGTGGGTTGGACAAATGAGATTTCCCATCGGAGGTCTTGGGGTAGCGTTCCCTCTCTCCTGACCCACCTACAGCGGTTGACCAGCCTGTCAAAACCATCCATCCTAGGGCGGCCCAAAGCGCCAGTGCTCCGTATTGATTACTAGCTTGTATCTTGAACTAGCGCTGTCAGTCATTGAGAAAGACTGCTGTCATCGGGGAATGTCCGACACAATTTCTTACTCTAGCTGGATTTATTTCAGTGCCCATAAGCTGTCCGACTGCTTTACAAAGAGAAGTGAAGGATGAAAATGATGCTAAGTCAATGTTTCCTCTATCACGTAATGTTAGTCAATAGATCTCCCAAAAAGAGTGAGCCGTCTACACAGACGTATAATCAACATTTCTCTCGCCTCCTCAACCATCTTGGATTTATTTTCTTACTAAGCTCGGCCAGAGACCATAAAAGGTCACTGGAAAACGAATGGGGGAAATCATAAGACCAAATATGGAGGCTGTAGGAAAGTAGGTCCTGCCTTACAGAACACTTTACACTTCCTTTTTAAAGGCTTGCTTATATGGTATCATTTGAAAGTTTAGATTCTAATCTTTACAAAGAATACCATACTATTGGTTTTATGATACATAAAGTAGTAAAATTAAGCTTAAATATGCATTTGTACCAGACACGAATTTCCGCTTTTTGATGGCCAAGGATTGAAGAATTATCTCTCTGAATATGTATGTTTTATATATTTCACAAAACAGTCAAGTCATATATCATAAGAAAGCTCTCACACAAAAAGTATTTCATTGTGTGAAAATCATAGATCGAATGATCTTCAAAAGAATCGCGCCGTGAAATATGATACCTCTGAGGAAACAAAGACAAGCGTCACATTCCTACTTGTATGACTGCTTCCGTCCGCCACAAACAGCCACAAACTCTATTATCTTTTAGATTAGGATCTTTTCTTTCAAACGAGACCATTGTCACATTTCTGTGCTTTTGTTGGTGAGAAATCCATTGCTTTGTCGCAGATGTGCACCACAGAAAAAAATTATTATTATTTTGAAATGTGAAAGCACAGCAATCAATCTGATAAACTATTTTTTGACAAAAAAGCACTGTACAGGATGCAGTATGCAGAAAAGAATAAAATTACCATTTCAGTAAATATACATTTTGATCTTGTAAAATGGATATTATTATAATGCAAAAACTGTGTGCATAAACACTGAATTCTTTGTTTCAGTTTCTGTTGAAGATTAGTGAGCAACAGCAGCTGGCATCTCATCTCCAGGAGGCAGGCGGGATGCTGAGATGATGCTCAACACAGGGGACAAAAATGATGCACGTATAAGGAATGATATAAAGCTGGAGGATGTGGATTCTGTTTTAGAATGTAATAGACCACATAGATTTGATCATTTATAGAGTCTCCTGAAAGAATAAAACTCATTGTATAAAACACAAAAAATAATATTATTTTATGCCATTTTGTATATTGCTACTTAGAAAAAGATAAAAATGAAAAATAATTCAATCAATAATCAAGTGCTATGGCACATAGTAAAATAGGATTCTGGGGGTAATGTATTTTATAATACCTGTTTTTGCAAAGGAAACTCTAAAGACACTTGTAGACACAAAAAAATGACAATTTTACTCCCTTCAGTTATAGTTCAATAACTCCTGTTTAGAAGCTCTTTTGGGAAAAATAGTTTTTTTTTTCTGGTACATTTTGGAACCTAGTGGAATCAGACAATATAAGTTGCAGATAGCTGCTGCAAATAGAACCTGAATAGCAGACTTTCAAATACAAAATTCTGGAAGAAATCTTAAAAAATCTTTCTTAGTGTTTATTGTAATATTCGAAACATCTATAATGTTATTCATGAAGAATTACAATCTGATTTTGAATTTCAAGGTGTTTTCTATACAATGACACCATTTGTATGCGTGTAGGGTAAACATTTAAAATCGGGTATGCCAAATCCAGGCGCAAACCCCCTAAATAATTACTTGTTTTCAGAGGATGTACCTTAAATAAGTGTATTTTGAACTGGCACATATTTCTCAAAGTTATGAAGGATTATTGGAGTATGTTTTACGAACAAATACTATTTAAAAATATCATGTTTAATTCAATGCATTACTTGCCATTTAGTTTCAAGATTCGAGATTCAATCTATGAAAGCAAGTTATACAGTGTTGCTTCTCAAGTCAATTTTAATAATTTAGCTAGAAAAGAAGCTTTGCGGTGAATAATGTTAGTGAGGGTTTCAGTACCGTCCTCGTCCGTGCGGCAGAGCAGCGGCTCGCTCTCGGGACCCGGACCCACGCTGGTGGAGGCCGCCACAGTGACTCGGTAAAAGGTCCATTTCTCCAGCTGCCGCAGCTGGATCTGACTGGACGTGGGTGGCACCGCTGGTTCCTCCACGGGCTCCGTGCTGACCTCGGCCCCGGCCCCCACCACCGTGTAGCGCACTATGTACCCGGCCAGTGCCCCGTTTTGGCTCTCGGCCGGCGGAGGGCGCCAACTTACCAGCAGGGTGGTGGAGCTGGAGCTGGAGCACTTAATGTCTTGAGGGGGGGCGGAGGGCTCTGCTCAGGTTTGGGAAAGGGGGGCAGAGGAGGGGGTGGAAAACAAAAAACGAAAAGATGGGAAAGAGAAAAAGAAAATGATAAAAGGGAAAAACCAACTGAAAAAAACAAGCAGAGACATACTGAAACATAACAAAACAAGGAAAACAAATGCAAAGGGCAAATGCAAACAGAAGAACTTGGTTTTGAAGGGGTCGGGGTGTTTGGCATGCATACATAAATATGAAGCATGAAGGTTTAACTTTGGCTTGATTTCCGTGTCACAGATCTAGAAGTAACACCACAGATGTTGGGCGTAAGATACAGCAGTTTATCCAACTATAACCGGCTGTACGCGAGCCAAAGATTTAACCCATCTTTCACAGTAAATACTCTGGGCTCTCAGGATATATTTCCACCATGAGGGGAAAATAGATCACATTATTTGCATTTGAATGAAGGCCATTCATTGCGGTATTTCAAGGCATTTTTGTCGGGTTCTTCCCCTTGCACATATCAGAAATTACAACTTCTGTGCCATTCTAAATCAATATAAAAGTCTCGTTTAAAATGCACAGAGTCTCTGCTTACTAAATGCTTGCGCATAGGAAAGTATTATACCGTTTAAATGCCGTAACATTTATCTCCATTGTAAAATCGAGAATTAAAAGTTACTCTGTCGTGCTGATCCCTGAAGCCATAAGTAACACAAATGAATGAGGGGGGAAACAGACAGACGGGGATAAAACATATTTGTGACTGAAATTCAAATGGATGAGCACCAGCAAAACAAAGTCATTCAAAACGGATTACAGGAAAATGAGGAAAAACTCTCTGCAAAACAATGGCTGGAAAGAAATTGTTAGGACCAAAATGTCAACTCAGAAGAATCATGGAAAGCCACCAAGCTTTAAACAGAAAGTAAGACCATTAAAAACAGCAAAAACCAAAACAAAACCAAAAACACAAAAACATTTTCCTGTACATTATACGTACCTGACATCTTCAAACACTAACTTTTAGAGACTTTCTTACCACAAGCACCCGATTCGAGGGAGACTATATTTCCCCAGAGTCGGTTGGGTTTGGCCCTCTCCTTCTACTGCTGAGCTCACCGAATACAGCTCAGTTCAAACTATTTACCTTAATTTAGTTTAGTCCAATAACATTGAGGTTGGGATGTTTTTTTTTTTGGTTGGAGGGAGAGAGCTTTCCCTGTGCTTTCATCAGTCTGCACTATTCACTGTTTGCACTCGCCTGAGGGTCCACAAGATTGAGATCAGGGTGCTAGCACCTCGCTAACATCCAACCATTCATACCCAAGTTATATAATCCACCCCAATTCAACCCATCAGCAGCCCAGCTGTGCTTTTGTTTGAGAAATGGTTAACAGATTTGTCACGTCACCAGCCAGCTTTCATCATAGGTGTCACCCGTCCCAGAGTTCAGTGGGCGACATTATTCAGAGCCCTGTTTATTCACCAAATGGGCTTCATTGGATCAAAGTTTTACTGGATTTTCATCTTCTATTTGAAGATATATTCTGAAGATGTACTTCCTCTTTTGAAGAATATTTGCATTCAGTTCTCGTGAATCGACCTGGTTTGAGTGCGGCGAGAAAGTTTGGTATCTGAGAGTTGCAGAACTACCTGAAGGTTTAGACTCATGCAATAAGAGCCTTGAATTTCAATGTTCAAAATGAAATCTCTCTGGAAGCTGGCAACTTCTATGAGTGAAACAATCGATTGGATTCCTTCTATATGTGGCTACTTGTGGACCTCCAAATGAAATCACTCTTCAGAATTAAGAATTGTGCCTCAAAACCAATATCGAAAGATGTTAACTGTCATAATGACTTAATCCAGGTCCATATTGTGGCGCTGCTTCAAATAAACAAAATGAGAGGTGAAAAAGAACTGCAATTACAGATTTGTTTGGCTAAAAAGGTTGAAATTAGTTTGTGAGCTGGACGATGGCAACTTCGAGTGTAACAACTGATGGAACTGATTGGACTCTACTTGTGGCTACTTGGAATCCAACTTGAATCCACTTGTGGACCTCCAAGATAGACTCGCACTAAACCCAAGACAAAGACCGGTGCGGTAACCCTTGCCCCCAGTGTGTGGACCCTCTATGACCATGTTTGAAACCTGAGCATCACTCAATAGCCATTGACTCTTAAGCATTTCCCTCTGGCACCTACTTGGTCAAGGCAGGAGTGTCTATCTCCACTAACCCTCAAGAGTCTGGACACATCCCCCAATGTTAACAACAAGAGTTGGGGGATATGGAGGGTGAGGTGAGTACTCTCTGCCGGACCACTGCAGGGGCTTTGGTTCGTAACTGTGGGCTGACCCACGAACAGGGACCTGACTGGGCGTCAACTGAACAGCACCGTACCAAAAAGGATACAAACACAATACAATTTCATTTCACGCCTTCATGAGGAAGTCCAGTCTGCCACTTGGTGTAGTTCAATATAGATCTACGAAGAGGGAATCCTGGTGTTAAAAGCTTGTATAATCTGGCCCATTAGTGTTTAAACATCTTGGGAACTCTCCGTGAAGACGATGGCACTCTTTCCAGTTTGCGCAAAGTTGTGAAGGGATCTGACCCAATTCTACTGGTGTATGTGACAGTTCTACACCTCAGGGTCACTATACGCCTACAAACACGCACTTGTCAGGTTGGTTATGTGGCCGACTTCTGAAAAGTGAGGTGGCAGACTGGGCTTTTCCTCCGAACGGCGGTCACTTACCTCTCGGGAATCCACACTGTAATGTTTGTTTATGTGTTAGGTTGAGGGGAGTTTGTGCTAAATTGCTTCTAACTGTCCAAGCTTGTCGCCTCCCTGACCTTGTTATGGGAAAATCTGCACTACTTTAGTTTATGCTTGAGGGAAGACATTGGCAGATGTAGTGAACCACGTCTCCCATCTCTGTGAGATCCTGCGGGACAAAGCGAAATCCCATAACTTGAGCAAGAAGCCTCCGGCTGTCCCACCGGGATACTTACTCTCACCTTTAGTTTAATGGATTTGCATTGGCAATGCTAAGTGCTGCTGCATGTCGAGCTTGTCACGTTAAACTTAACCTCAATAATAAGAGCAAAAAAACCAAAACACTGAGAGCTGTTTCCTCAAGTGTTAGAGTAAAACCAAACCAAAATGAAATAAAGTTGAACTTAAACCCGTGTACTGAACAGAAATAAATTAAAACCAGGTGACGTCAAGCTGGAGCAGGTGAGCTTTAGTTTCATTTCAGGAGACAAAGTGAAACAGAAGAGCTAGAAAACAAAAGTGAGGTAGAAAGTGCACCGCATTGTTCCAGAATACAATATATGAAGACACCAACAGCGGGACAGACATATAGAGATGGAACAGAAGGGGACACACACAGCGTACACATGCCAGAGGTCAAAGGATGCATTAACAGAGCGCCCCCCGGGGGTAATGGGAGGAAATACATGCATTCAGTGCTCACTCTCAGGTTTTACATTGTGCATCAATGCAGCAGGTTTATTGCATCCCAGCACCCACTCAACCAACCCCATCCCACCCATTCTGCACCAACAAGCTGCACAGGTAGAAACAGAAGATGAGTTAAAATGGTCCACATCTGCTGCCATGGCTTTGTGGCATCTTCCGCCCACTGAAAGTGTATCTGAAGAATCAAATCTGTAAAAGGAACCTTTAACCAAAAGGAGCATCTAGAGTCAACATGAAAACAAAATACATTCATTTGTGCACAGTTACAAAGAAATGCAAAGTTTATCTTGGTAATTTTTCATCAAAATGTAATAAGTTGCTCTGCCTCCAAGGCAAGTTTTTTCAATTCCAATTTTCCAATCAGTTCCTGATTGAAAAAAGTTGTTCTCCAATATACCATTTCACTAAGAAATACGTCAGATTACAAAAGTAAAATGGGTTTTGAATGCCATTTCATGTTGACTTTAAACTTTTTTTTAACCTTTACACTAAAACATGAAAGCATAAAAAAACTACTAGGAATCATTTTGAAAGTGCACATCATTTTTTCTTTGTTTATCTGGCTTGGAAGTTATCTAGAATCATGCAGAATTGTGCAAATGCCACATTCACAAGTGCATTTGTCACCCATTATTCATCTATTCTGAAAGTGGTCTGTGCTCAATAAAAATAAAAAAAAATAAAGTTAATAATTTTAATCACTCAGAGAAATACAACTAGGAAATCTGAAAATGAAAACATAGGATGTTTTGGGGTGGTTCAACTTCACTTACAAATTAATATGCTTTGTAAAGAAAACTTTTGCAAAATAGATGCATTTTCACTCATGCTCTCAAGACTTCTGGACCCCTTTGAATGTACAAGCTGAACACAAGAAATTGCAATTTTGTTAGCACAGGGCACATGCCAGCTGCAAGGTTTCCAACAAGCTCTGATGATTTCATGCACCAAATCATGATGCGACTCAGCGAGGGTGTATTTTTAGGCCGAAGGCTTGAATAATTCAGCCGGTCTCCCAGCGTAAATGCTGACTACCTGCAGGCGCCAGCAGCCACTGACTGCGCTGCTTTCAGTAATACACAGTGAGGGACTAGATGTGGTGGAAAGCCATGGCAGACCGCAGAGTCAATAATATTTTGTGAGGGTCAATCGCATGGGAGGAAAAAAAGTGCATTTGCTGTTGACACATGAAAAAGAAATACGAACACAGAAGAAATAAGGGAGTGCGCATGGGAGCCAAATGGCACGCTTGCTGCAGATCAATCAACCCATATTGATTTGTTTGTTTCACGTGTAGGAAATCTCTGAAGTACATAACTGTGACACAGAGAGACCCAGATGAAAGAATAACCAAACAAAGAAGAATAAAAAGTGTGTGTGACACCATCCTGCTGAAGGGCCAGGAATCCATTAAACTAAACAACACAGGTCATTTAAAAGTTTGGGCTTTAACCTTTAGACTCTTAAAAATATAAATAATGTATAAAACATCAAAGTAAGAGGGCCTCATTCATGAAACACAAGCAGAACTAATTGCAAAAATTGTGTGTACGACCATTCTTACATAAACTGACGCATTGAAGTGTTATGCAGCGATTTACATAAGAATGTTTTTACAAACAATTTACACAAATTTGTTCTGCTCGTTTTTATCTTTCTTTTAAAAGAATTTGTCAACGTGCAAAGAAAGGAATTATTCAAAAGCATAAAGCTTTGCCAAGTCATTTGGAAATATTTTCATCAAAACAACATCACCTTTGCAGCCTGCATGTAGCAAAACTCACTTCTGGCTCAAAGGTGATGCTGTTTTGTGCCATTCAGATGCATAAACAAACACAACACAAAGGAATGAGGCAAAGAACCACTGCCAGAAAACCTGAAGCAGAACACCTGTCAAAAACCAGGGACCAGACAAGTGTCCAGTCTTTAACACATATCTGCTGCACACACAAGCACACCATTATCATTTACTCTTGACATTTCTGGAGTCAATAAACAATATCCCTGGATTGGAAAACTAGGGTGAAGGTTACAGTGGCCCTTTCAAACAGTGTGGTGTTGTATCCCGACCCCATCGGAAGCTCAAAATTGCCATTGTGTCTTGGCATTTCTCAATCAAAATACAATATTAGACCCCTCCCCCCAACCCTTCATTCGGGTCGCTAGGAAAGGAAATGGACTACATACTGGCTTGGGATGTCCTTTGGGATATTTCGTTGGTGAAGGCTCCAATGCCTTTGTTGGAAACGGCAGCCAGAGAGAAGAAGTACTCTGTATTTGCACGTAGACCCTCCACCACATAGGAAGAGGTTGGCCCGAATGTTTTCTTTACCTGTTTGGCCGAAAATAATAACGTTACTGCTAATGACATGTGCATAAGTGGTCCTGACAACATATTTGAGAAGGTTTGTTGTGGAGAAGGCACCTGAGATTCCTGCCTGCCCTCTCTGTAATGCAGTTCGTAACTGATGATTCCCTCTTTCTCGAAGGCCGGTTCCCATGTTAGCTCAACACTCGTGTCTGACACCTCACCAACCTGGAAGTTGGTCGGCTGTCCAGGGACTACAAATGGAGCCAGTGTTGATAGTTTAATAGACATGAAACTAAATAAACAAACAGATTTAGATAAATAAACAAAGAGATTTACAACTGTATATTTAGTGAATGTGGTAGAGCAAACATTTACCCAGTGGCAACGGAGTTAGAACAATAACCCAGATAAAGTAGCGTACTTACATTTTAGTGACACTGAAAACAAAATACATTTATAATGACATTTATGATTGCTTAACTAATCCTGCAAACTTTGAAAACAAACATACCCAATCGCTAACCTGTTGTTTTTGACTACATTTCCAAATGCTAAACTATCTTTGGCTACATATTTAGTTAACTCAAGAATGACAACAGAGACCTTAAATCAATTTGCTACATCTTTAGCCTATTAATCACTGAAAACAGACTTTTTCAATATTTAAACTCACCTTGCTACATCTTTAGTCCACCAAACACAAAAGCCATTTTCAATTGCTAAATTCAATTTGCTACACTATTAGTTCACCCAGTTTTAGCAACAGCCATTTTTCAATTGTTAAACTCACCTTGCTACGCCATTAGTTCAACCAATACAAACAATGTGCATTTCCAATTGCAAAACTCACCTTTCTACTGTACATTGTTAGCCCAACAAACATGACAACAGACATTTTTCAATCACTTAGCTCACCTTGCTACATTGTTAGCCCACTGAACACTGAAAACAGACTTTATCAATCTCTAAATTCAATTAAAATGCAATAAATTAAATCAGATCGCCCAATATTTGCAACAAATATTCTTCAATTGCGAAACTCTCCTTGCTACATCTTTTGCTCACCCAACACTGAAAATAACCACTAAAAATTTACAAACGAACCTCCTTGAAGTACTTTGACGTGAATGGGATCTGAGAAGGGTCCATCTCCTACTGACGTGAAGGCTAACACTCTGATGGTGTAGGTCTCAGTGGCCACCAGACTCTGAATGGTGGTGATCACGCTGTCCTGTACATTGTGGATGTGCCACATGCTCATGGGCTGAGATGGGTCCATGGTGTAGTAGACCCGATAACCCTTGATCTGTCCATTGGGCTCCTCAGGTTCATCCCAGCGTACCATCATGGTGTTCTGGGAGATGATACGGGCCTGGATGTTGCGTGGTGGGCTGGCGGGAGCTTGCTCCCCAGTCCTAGCCTCAACCGGTTCACTGGGCGGGCCTTGGCCAATGGTGTTGTAGGCTGACACCCGGATCTCATAATCAGTGTTCGGAGAAAGTCCTCCAATGCTGTAGCGAGTGGTGGTGATGGAGTCCACGGTCTCGAACTTGCTCTCGGGAGATTTGGCGCGATACTGGATGATGTAATGGGAGACGGGCTCAGGGTTGCCACTGTCCCAGGTGATGGTGATACTGGTGGCGGTAGTTTCGGTTACAACAGGAGTACCTGGAGGTTTTGGCAAGGCTGCAGGGTGGGATAAGACAATACCGTAGACGTAAACATCCAATACTGGGACTTGACACTAGGGCTGCACGATTAATCAAATGCGATTGTCATGCGCATTTTGTTAGTAATGCCGGTTCTGTAATCAGCAGTAAATCATCATCACATGCTTTCAGATGGAGCAGCATTTACTACACAGAGCCGTAGTTCACTGA